CCATCCCCGCCTCTTCGACCTGTTTGTTTCCTCTCCACCTATCCTCTCCTCTATCCCTCTTCTATCCGCCTCCCACTCTCTCCCTATTTATTTCAAAACCCCCTTCCCCTCCCCCTTTTCTGATGAAGGGTCTAGGCCCGAAACGTCAGCCTCTCTGCTCCTATGATGCTGCTTGGCCTGCTGTGTTCATCCAGCCCTGCACCTTGTTGTCTCGGATTCTCCAGCATCTGCAGTTCCTACTATCTCTTCATACTCCTTGACCCCTTTAGCCACAAAGGCCTTGTCCAGCTTCCTCTTGAATATATCTAATGAACTGGCCCCAACAGTTTCTTGTGGGAGAGAATTCCACAGGTTCACAACTGTCTGAGTGAAGAAATTCTTCCTCATCTCAGGCCTGAATGTCTTAGTCTGTGACCCTTAGTTCTGAACTTCCTCAACATCGGGAACATTCTTCTCGCATCTAGCCTGTCCAGTCCCATCAGGATGTTATATGTTTCTATGAGAACTCCCTCATTCTTTTACATTCCAGCGAGTACAAACCCAGTTGATCCAGTCATTCCTCATATGTCTGTCCTGCCATTCCAGAAATTAGTCTGGTGAACCTTCACTGGGCTACCTCAACAGCAAGAATGTCTTTCTTCCGATTAGGAGACCAAAAATGCGCACAATACTCAAGGTATGGTCTCACTAAGGCCATGCATAACTGCAGCAAGACCACCCTATTCCTATACTCAAATCCTCTCGCTATGAAGGCCAGCATGCCAATAGCTTTCCTCACCACCTGCTGCACCTGTATGCCAACCGTCGGTGACTGTTCCACCATGACACCGAGGTCTTGTTGTACTTCATTTTTTCCTAAACGGCCACAATTCAGATAGTAATCTGCGTTTGTGTTTTTGCGACCAAAGTGGATAACCTCACATTTATCCACATTATATTGCATTTGCCAAATACTTGCACATTCAGCCAGTCTGACCAAGTCACCCTACAGCCTCTTAGCATCCTCCTCACAGCACACACTACCACCCAGCTTACTGTCATCTGCAAATTTGGAGAGACGGCATTCAATTCCTTTGTTCAAATCATTAACGTATATTGTCAACAACTGGGGTCCAGCACTGAACCCTGCAGCACCCCAATTGTCACTGCCCGTCATGCTGAAAAGGACCCGCTTAATACCAACTCTCTGCTTCCTGTCTGCCTCTATCTATGTCAACACATTACCTCTGATACCATGAGCTTCTCGAAGTGGCCTCACTAGTGCCCAATATAATTTCAGTAAGACATTATTGTTCCTGTACTTGAATCCTCTCACTATGAAGGCCAATATACACAGTTTGTCTTCTTTACTACCTGCTGTAACTCTGTGCTTACTTTCAGCGAATGGTGCACAAGGACAATCAGGCCACTTCAATATTCTCCTCTCCCAATTTACAATTTATTATTACAAATAACAAACTGCCTTATTTTTGCTCCCAAAGTGGATAACATTTCCTTGATCCACTCACTCAGCCTGCCGTTGCCCACTCACTCAGCCTGTCCAAAATCATACTTTACCATCTCTGCATCCTCCTCAGATAAGGTCACCACAGTTATTGCTTGTCTCCAAGTACACAAAGCCATAGTGTGATATTCTCCACCTGCACCCAGCTACTTGTTGTGGGCAACATAACAAGCTTATGTAGGGGGTGGCAGGGCAGAGGCGAGGTACAAGCTCAACTGAACAGCAATTCACTTGCATCAATTTGGTAAAAGATGGTTCAAAATGTTTATTCAAATGTTTCCATTTGCTGTTAATTTCAGTGTACCACAAGAAGCAGGCAATCTGTGAGAAAACACAGGCATATTATCACTGAGCCATTATTTACAATGGGGTGGCACCATGGCACAGTGGTTAGCACTGTTGTCTCACAATGCCAGGGACATGGGTTTGACTCTACCCTTGGGTAACTGCCTGCGTGGAGTTTGCATGTTCTCCTTGTGTGAGTTGGTTTAATCCGAGTACTCTGGTTTTCTCCCACAGTCCAAAGATGTGTAGGTTAGGTGGATTGGCTATGCTAAATTGCCCATAGCGTCTTTATCAAGCACTCCCATAGTGTCTAGGGATGTGCAGGTTAGGTGGGTTAGCCATGGGTAATGTGGGGTTACAGGGATAGGGAAGGGGTGGGTTTGGATGCTCTTCAAAGAGTCTGAGTGGACTCAATGGGCCAAATGGCCTGCTTCCACACTGTAGAGATTCTATGAGCTTTAATTTTCCTCACTAATCTCTTGTATGGAGCCTTGTCAAAAGTCTTCTGAACGTCCAGGTACACATCCCTGATTCATCCTTGTCCACCCTACTGGTCACATCCTCAAAAAAATTCCAGAAGATTTGTCAAGCATGATTCCCCTTTAATGAATCCATGCTGACTAGGGCCGACTCTGTCACCACTTTCCAAATGCTCAGTTATTACATCCTTAATAATTGACTCCAGCAGATTCCCCACCATCGATGTCAGGCTAACCGATCTTTTAGTCCCCATTTACTCTCTCCCTCTTTTTTTGAAGAGTAGGGTTACATAAGCTACCCTCAAGTCCATTGGAATTGTTCCAGAGTCTACAGAATGCTGGAAAATGATCACCAACAGTATTTGCTATTTCTAGGGCCACTTCCTTAAGTACTCTAGGATGCAGAGCATCCTTCCCTGAAGACTTATAGAGTTTTAATCCCATCAATTTCCCCAACACCATTTCCTGAAGGATTTCCTTCCATTCCGCCTTCATGCTTGACCCTCTGAAGACAAGATCATACATAGGAAACTGATTAAAAAAAAAGGTAAAACCTCATGGGATCCAGGGTAACTTGACAAGATGGATCCAAAATTGGCTAAGTGATAAGGGAGAAAGGGTAGTGGTAGAAAACTGCTTGTGTGACTGGTGCACAGCGTGCAGTGGCGTCACACATGGATTAATGCTGCATCCCTTATTGTTTGTGATATCCATAAATGATGTAGATGAGAATGTGGGGAGGATGATAAGTATGTTTGCAGATGACACAACGATTGGCTGGACGGTTGACAGTGAGGAGGAAGGTGTTAAGTTACAGAAAGATATAAAAGGGTTAGTCAGATAGGTGGATCAGTGGCAAATGGAATTTAAAACATAGAACATAGAACAGTACAGCACAGTACAGGCCTTTTGGCCCACAATGTTGTGCCGACCTACTATCCTACTAAGATCAAACTATCCTGCATACCCTACATTATACTATCATCCATGTGCCTATCCAAGAGTCGCTTAAATGTCTCTAATGTATCTGTATATGTATTTAATCCTGATAAATGTGAAATGATGCACTTTGGAAGAAGGAACGAGACAAGGGAGCACTCAATGAATGGCAAGACACTGAGATGTACAGAGGAACGGGGGGATCTTGGGGTGCTTGTCTACAGATCCTTAAAGGTGTCAGGGCACGTTAAGAGAATGGTTAAGGCGGCGTATAGGATTCTTGCCTTTATCAGTCGTGGCATAGATTGTAAGAGCAGGGAGATCATGTTCGAGCTGTACAGAATTTTTGTTATCCTGCAGCTGAAGTACTGTGTATGGTTTTGGTCACCACACTGTATTAAGGATGTAATTGCACTAGATGGGGTGCAATGGAGATTTACCAGGATGTCACTTGGGATGGAACATTTTAACTATAAAGCTCAGATTTTTTCTTCAGAGCAGAGAAAGTTGAGGGGGTGGACCTGATAGAGATGTATAAAATTATGAAGGGCATGGACAGGGTGAATAGAAAGCACCTGTTTCCTTTAGTTGAAAGATCAATAACAAGGGACATTAAATTTAATGTGACAAACCGGAGGGTTAGAAGGGATTTGAGGAAAAATCCTTTTCACCTGCAAGATGATGGTAATCTGGAATGCACTGTTTGGCAGGTCAGTTGAAGTGGGAAACCTCAACTTTTAAAAAGTAGTTGGATTAGTACTTGAAATGTCATAACATTCAAGGCTATGGGCCTAGTGTCAGAAAGTGGGAGCAGTGTAGGTAGTAGCATATTTTTGGCAGAACTGACTTTATGGGCCAAAGGGCTAATTCAGTACTGTATGATCCTATGACTTTAAGTGGCATACCATCAGTAAAAGACAGTTATGAGCATGATAGAGATGACCATGAAAGTGTTAATTCTTGTGAACTGTGGATAAGTATTTACTTCTTGGTGCTGCAGTTCCCCCAAGGGCAATGAACTGGTTGCCACAAATAGGTTTAACTTGCTCAGGCAATGTATACAGACAAACATTAGAACATTCAGAGAACTGACAGCTGTTGAGAGGTCCTCAATCAGTGTACTCTCAACATACCTGGCTAAAATGGAACATAAAGGGAGTTTGTTGGTGGAACTTGCAAACAGGGGTTTAAATATCTTGAAAGTTACACCAAAACATAGGGAATTTGAATCCACTAATTAAACCCAGTGAAAATAACACAAAAATCTGAAATTAATACATACACAAGTATACGCATTCTCAAAGCAGGTTATAATATAATGATAGCTCTGAGGTGATGAGAGCTTGTAAGAACAGTGAAAAAGGATTACCTTTATCCCAACAAAGGCAGAATCCATAAAATATCCTGTCCTCAGGGCTTTTACAGAGAACAGTCCGACATCTTCACACACCCGGTACTCTGATTCTATCATTTCAACACGAGACCATTTGAGATCAAGTCTGTAAAATCATCAGATGTAACTTTTTGATAATTCGAGAATTATATATTCATAGAATTTAGAAAACATAAAAGAAAATTCTTCAAAATCAAATGTAACTGGATAAATGTGTGAAATTATCTTCAATAATTCATGACTTATGGGTGTCACTGGCTAGCCCAGCATTCCTTGTTCATTCCCTGGTGGTGAGCTACCATGAATATAAACAAAATTGAATATTCTGAATCAAATGCAGAGCAAATTAGGATATTTAGGAGCAAATTAATAAGGTTGTATTGTATGGATTGATCATTTCAAGTTCTTCTTTGTTGTGAGGGTGTCTTATGCCACACAGAGAACACATAAAATTGCAACTGGGCTAAGTCCAACTGTGGATTACACAATGGTCACCAACTGAAACAGTTCTAATATATCAAGAAACAACCTTCCTTGTTACTAGCATAAGAAAGAGAATTCTTGAATGTTTTAAAAAAAACACAATGAGGGTTAGTAAAGTTACAAAAGAGTGGAACTCTCAGTTTAAAGCAAAATTACTATATTGAAACAGAGTGCTATCACAGGCTCATAAGCCATACAATGACGAGGGAATGTTAGGCATCCTCTTAAGAGATTTAGAACACAAAATATTCTACAGTAGAATAGTACAACATGTAATAATGATAAGCCTAAGATGAACTTTAACAAGACTTCTGTTGCAATACTGTGAACCATCTGGTCTCAACACAATATAAATTAGATTGAGGTAATACATAGTATTGAGCACAGATTGACCTGGATGCTACTTGGTTTTTGGAGAATTTGGAATAACACAGATTATGAAGTAAATATAGCAGAAGTTCTCCAAAAGAAATGCTTGTGAGGCCTTAGTTACAAGTTAGTTACAGTCATGAGCTCTTAACTTGCGTAGGGACCCTTGATGTGTCTCTTTGTCGAATGCCTTCTGGAAATCTAAGTACAGTAAATCCACTTCCTTTGTTATTCCCACAATTCGAACTCTAATAATTATACAAACACGTTTTCCTTTTCAGAAAATCATGCTGACTAATCTGAATACACTGAGATTTTCTAAATACCTCATAGAACGTAGAACAGTACAGCACAGTACAGTACAGGCCCTTCGGTCCACGATATTGTACCCACCTATTATCCTACTCTAAGATCAAACTACCCTGCATAACCCACATTTTACTATCATCCATGTGCCTATCCAAGATTGGCTTAAATGCCCCTAATGTATCTGATCTCGTTAATAAAATATTCAGCAAGTGTAAACTCGGAACTTCATTTGATTGGTAGAGGCAATAAAAAAAAAAATTGTCAACCAATCAACACCCTCCTCACATACGGTATAAATGTTGCTTCACTTTAAATTGGCATTCTTGTAACTTGTCCTAGTGAGTGCAAGACAAAAGAGTCGGTGTGGACTTGTTGGGCTGAAGGACCTGTTTCCACACTATAGGGATTCTATGATTCTATGATGAAAGCCGTGCTGACTACCCCTCACTAGTACATGCTTTTCTAAATGACAGTTTATCCAATCTCTCATGATTAACTCCAACCACAGAAGTAAGACTAACTGGCCATTTCCTTTCTACACTTTCTAAACAATAGAATCGCATTTGGATTCCTCCAGTCCTCTGGTAGATCACCTGTGTCTTGTGAAGATTGGAAAGTAATTCTCAGAGCATCTGCTGTTTCCTCCCTGACCTCCTTCAACATCCTAGGGAATGTTTCATCCGGCCTTGGCAACTTTATACAATATCAAGGATTCCAACTCCTCTAATATCTCCTCTCTCAGCATGATTGTTTGTCTAATATTTCAACACTGATCCGAGGATTACTATATCAATATCATCCCTTTCCTTTTTGAACGCGGGAACAAAATATTCATTTAAAATTCTTCCCATATCTTCTGTATCTTCACACAGGTTTCGTTCTACATCTCTAATAGGTTGCACGTAACCTTAACTATCCTGTTGCTCTTTTTGTACTGGTAAAACATTTCTGGGCTCTCCTTTCTCTTGTTTGCTAATATTTTTTCATGCCTTCTCTTTGATTTCCTATTTCTTTTTTCTTGATCCCTGTACTTTGTATATTCCTTTAGGCTATCTGCAGTATTGAGTTTTTTGTGATTTACATAAGCTTTCTTTTTCAATTTAATCTTCTTATATTTTTCTAGGCAACCATAGGAGTCTAGATTTGGTAATACCATTCTTATTTTTGGAGTGGACATGTTTGCTTTTTGCCCTAATGGTCTCAATTATTACAGCCTTGCACTGATTTATCCTTCAGCAGTCATGTTGAGTCCATCTCAGCTAAATCACTTCTCAGTATTGGAAAATTTGCCTTCATCCAGTTAAAAACTTGTACTGCTGTTTTATCTCTATCTTTTTCCGTAATAATACTAAATGTAACTGAATTGTGGACATTATCCCCGAGATGGTCATCCACTGTCACTTCACACACTCGCCCATCTTCATTTCCCAAAAATAAATCCAGAATTGTGTCTCCTTTTATTGGGCCTGTCACTTTTTTTTAAATTTCTGGACACAGTCCACGAACTTTTCACCCTCAATGCCTCCTTTTTTTGTTTGAAACCCAGTTGATATCAAGATAATTGAAGTCTCCTCTTATCATTGGCCTCTCATTCCTACAGGCAGAAATTTGTTTACATATATGTTCTTCTTTCTCTGACTCATTATTTGGGATCTGTACCGTACTCCTAGTAATGTGACTGCCCATTTTTATTTCTAGGCTCAACACATAGAGCCTTATTTGTTAACCTATTTAGTATATCAGCCCTTATCACAACTGTAATTGTTTCTTGAACCAACATTGCTACCCTCTTCCATTTCTGTCACACACCCTATCCTGCCTGAAAACTCGATAGTTAGGGATATTGAGCTACCAATTTTGCCTATCCTTTAGCCAGGTCTTTGCTATAGCAATGCCATTATGCTGTTATGTGTCTATCTGTGCCCTTTCTTTATCCTCCTAGTTTGTAATACTTCTTGCATTGAAGTATAAACAGCTCTACACTGTCAACTTCATCAATATTCTAAACTCTCGCTGATTAGAACATAGAACATAGTACAGTACAGCACAGTACAGGCCCTTCGGCCCACGATGTTGTGCCAACCTATTATCCTACTAAGATCAGAGATAACAAGGTGTAGAACTGGATGAACACAGCAGGCCAAGCAGCATCAGAGGAACAGGGAAGCTGACGTTTCAGGCCTAGACCCTTCTTCAGAAATGAGGGAGGGGAAGGGGGTTCTGAAATAAATAGGGAGAGAGGAGGAGGCGGATAGAAGATGGATAAAGGAGAAGATAGGTGGAGAGGAGACAGACAGGTCAAAGAGGCGGGGATGGAGCCAGTAAAGGTGAGTGTAGGTGGGGAGTTAGGGAGGGGATAGGTCAGTCCAGGGAGGACGGACAGGTCAAGGGGGCGGGATGAGGCTAGTAGGTAGGAGATGGGGATGGGGCTTGAGGTGGGAGGGGATTGGTGGGAGGAAGGACAGGTTAGGGAGGCGGGGACCAGCTGGGCTGGTTTTGGGATGCGGTTGGGAGAGGAGAGATTTTGAAGCTTGTGAAGTCCATTGATACCATTGGGCTGAAGGGGTCCCAAGCGAAATATGAGTTGCTGTTCCTGCAACCTTCAGGTGGCATCGTTGTGGCACTGCAGGAGGCCCAGGATGGACATATCGTCTGAGGAATGGCAGGGGGAGTTGAAATGATTTGCGACTGGGAGGTGCAGTTGTTTAGTGTGAACCGAGCGTAGGTATTCCGCAATACAGTCCCCAAGCCTCCGTTTGGTTTCCCTGATGTAGAGGAGGCCACAACGGGAACAGCAGATACAGTATACCACATTAGCAGATATGCAGGTGAACATCTGCTTGATGTGGAAGGTCTTCTTGGGGCCTGGGAAGGGGGTGAGGGGGGAGGTGTAGGGGCAGGTGTAGCACTTCCTGCGATTGCAGGGAAAAGTGCCAGGTGTGGTGGGGCTGGAGGGGAGTGTGGAGCGGACAAGGGAGTCATGGAGAGAATGGTCCCTCCAGAAAGCAGATAAGGGTGGGGAGGGAAAAATGTCTTTGGTGGTGGTGTCGGATTGCAAATGGCGGAAGGGTCGGAGGATGATGTGTTGGATCCGGAGGTTGGTGGAGTGGTACATCCTACTAAGATCAATCTACCCTGCATACCCTGCATTTTACTATCCTCCATGTGCCTATCCAAGAGTCGTTTAAAAGTCTCTAAAGTATCTGACTCCACTACCACTGCTGGCAGCGTATTTCGCACGCCCACCACTCTCTGTGTGAAAAGGTACCTCTGACATCTCCCCTATACCTTCCTCCAATCACCTTAAAATTATGTCCCCTCATAATAGTCATTTCCGCCCTGGGAAAAAGTCTCTGACTATCCACTTTCTTTATGCCTCTCATTATCTTGTAAACCTCTGTCAAGTCACCTCTCATCCTTTTTTGCTCCAATGAAAAAAGCCCTAGCTCCCTCAACCTTTCTTCATAAGACCTGCCCTCCAGTCCAGGCAGCATCCTGGTAAATCTCCTCTGCACCCTCTCTAAAGCTTCCACATCTTTCCTGTAATGAGGTGACCAGAACTGAACACAATATTCCAAGTGTGGTCTAACCAGAGTTTTATAGAGCTGCAGCATAACCTCACGGCTGTTAAAATCAATTCCCCTGCCAATGAAAGCCAACTCACCATACGCCTCCTTTACAACCCTATCAACCTGTGTAGCAACTTTGAGGGATCTATGGACACGGACCCCAAGATCCCTCTGTTCCTCCACACTACCGAGAATCCTGCCATTAACCCTGTATTCTGCATTCAAATTCGACCTTCCAAAATGAATCACTTCACACTTTTCTGGGTTGAATTCCATCTGCCACTTCTTTGTCCAGCTCTGCATCCTGTCAACATCCTGTTGCAACCTACAACAGGCCTCCACGCTGTCCACAACTCCACCAACCTTCGTGTCATTGGCAAACTTACTAACCCACAAGCGGGAACGGCCAGCTGTAACTCAAAACGCATTTATCCCCAGTGTTGAGCTTATTTTCCCCGAGACCCAAAGGTATCTAACCTAGCTCGCAGGGAGGGGAAGGTGGGTTGGTGACACTTCCTCATCCAAGTCATTTATAAAGATCACAAAGAGCAGATGTCCCAGAACAGATCACTGCAGCACATCACTGATCACCGAGCTCCAGGCTGAATATTTCCATCTACTACCACCTTCTGTCTTCTATTGGACAACTATTCTGTATCCAGAAGGCCAAATTTGCAAAAAGGAGATTGGACTTTCTGCACAAAATGTTTGGGAACTAAAACAAGACGACCAAAAATATTATAGAAGTCCAAATTTAACAGCAGTCTCCTTGTTTTGGCAGCTAGAATTACACTGTCTGCTTCTACTGTTACTTTGCGAATTGTTTTACAAGTCCAGCTGAGATTAGTTCAGTCCATGTTTCACAGTCAAGAACATTAAGAAGAAAAGGCCAGAAAACATGTTGAGTGGTAGGTCTGCAAATAATCATAGATCAAGACAGTTTTACTTGGCCAGTGAGTACTACTTCCATATAATTTGATCAAGAGTTGATTTACCTCAGAAACAGATTTTAATTACCATCAGACAATTAACAAATTCATACACTGTTGGTTAAGTAGAACTAAAGAATCTATAATATTTACACAAATGTCTTACATTTGCGGGAGAGCAGAGTTGCCCGAGGAGTCCGAAACCTGAAACTCCAAACTGTCCGACATTACTGCTGAGGAAGCATTTATGATGTAAATGATGTTTCTGCTGTTCAAATCTTTCTGTGTGAACTTATTCCAAATAAATCCCCCTAGGCAGCAACAAATCACAAGATCAGTGCATCTGTTACAGTACATAAGAACAACATTCTAGGCAGTGTTTCATCAATTGGTGACTGCGAAATAAATATAATTCTAAAGGATGCAAGCAATGCATAGTTAGTGTTGGCTTTTTCTTAAAAAAAAAATCAATAAAATGCAGGATGTGAACTAACAGCTGCCTACTTGTCATGTGTCCCTTGTTGTCCTTCAGTTAGTCCAGTGAAGATTTATTCCTGGGAATTGTGCTATAAAGAGAATTTGGATAATGTGAAAATAGCCTCTGGAAATTAAAAGAATGAGAGATGATCTCATTGAAACACAAGATTCTGAAGGGACTTGACTGCATGGATACTGAGAGAATGTGGGTGTGGGTAAAGCGTCTCTACCTGGATACAGGATAAGAGGCAGGCCATAGAAGACCAAGACATGGAAGAATTTCTTCATTTAGATGCTGAGGAAAGAACATTCATAGCTGCAGTTGCCAGAAGCATAAGGAATATGGAGTGGGATGAGAAATGGAGTTGAGGTCTAGGAGCAGCTATAAACTGATTGAAATTTAGAACCTACTTGAAAGACTCTACACCAGCTCCTGCATTTCAAGACTCTACATTTCTATAAAGTGGGAATGCAGAGTGAATTAAATCACAGTAGGCTTGGAGGCTGGTGGGTGGCATCAGAGCCAGTGATGAGAGAAAGAGAGAGTTAGGGGGAGAAAGAAAGAGAGAAAATTAAAGTCATGGAGGAGTGCAGAGAGGGATGTCAGCAGAATTCTGGATGTAGTATTCTGGTCCATCATTAAGCAACATCTGCCACTTGCTGTATTAAAATGTTTTTCCTCATGTTGGCATTGCTTCATTTGTAGTCACTTTAAATCTGTGGCTTCTGCTTCTCTATACTTCAACAAAAAGGAAAAGTTTTCCCTTCCTACTCTGTCCAGACAGCTCACCATTTTGAACACCATGATCAAATCTCCTCTCCTTCCCATCTCTAAGGAAAAGTCTCAATTATTCCAAATCTATTTAGGTAACTGAAGTTCCTCCTCATTGGGATGATTCTTGTGAATCTTTTCTGCACCCTCTTTAATGCCTTCACATCCTTTCTAAGGTTGTAGACTTTTACTTTCAGCAGGGTGATTTACCTAATACAGCAATACTTAGGTTAGTTCTTGCATTATAAGAACTAAATGTGGCTTGTGATATCGACATATATTCCATCACAGGAGTCTCAGTATCTGGTCGGATATTAAGTTTTTTAGTTACATGCAGTAGCATGCTTCCATCACCATACCACGCTTCAACTGGCCCAAAATAAAATGGAGTATGAGGTATTTATATTCTCAGGTTATAGGCTGTGATTATGGTGATGATATCATGAATATGTCAGTTAACGGTATCCCGCATACTAACTGTGAAACATAACATAACAAAGTGCAGTACTGAAAAGTGAGCACGATACTCTAGTTGACGTTGAACCAGTGTTTTGCGCAGGTTTAACACATGTTTTTGTACTCTGTACAAAAGTGCAATGAAAGAACAGTTGTGAATGTAACATTTCTTGACAAGAAGACATCGCTTAACAGAGTACGACTGCAAGGAATCCTAGCAAATCAGAGATCTAGAGTGGTTCAATGGAAGAAGCCATAGTAAATAGTGTCAAACTTCCTACAACAAAATTGGTTTTGATTTTCAGATACCAAATCATCATAGCTCCAAAATAAAAGTGGAAGCAGATATGATTGTGACTTTTAAAGGGCATCTTGACAAATACATGAATAAGGTGGGAATAGAGGGATATGGATCCCGGAAGGGTAGAGGGTTTTAGTTGTGACGGGCAGCATGTCGGTGCAGGCTTGGAGGGCCAAAGGGCCTGTCCTGTGCTATAATTTTCTTTGTTCTTTGTTCTTTACATAAGAGCCAGAATTCCAGCATTCAACCATTTGTGACAGCTTCATCAGACTGTTGTCTTATCATAAATCCCAGAAACGAGTCGTTTTCTAATTATTCCCAATGTTCCATGCCATTCAAACTCCTTTTATACTGAATCAATGGGAGTGTACAGACTATATCTCGGTTTAACCTGACAAAGGGAGGGTAATATTTGCATCACATTGTTGATTTCTGGCCCAATCTTCAGAATTACTAGCCCCTTTACTTTCATCACCATCACTGTGGCCCCCATTGTAATGCAATATATAACATTATTGGGAAAACAGCTTAACAATATTAATATATTTCCATGATAAGATTGTATTCTGTGATCGATACTAACACATGGCTTCAATGGGCCCATTGGGGTTCTGTAGGAAAATGCTCAGTAAATGCACGTCAAGTTAACATTTTTTAAGAACCATTTATAAGAATTCTAGCTGCTTTGGAAGACACTTTTACATTTAGATATTATCATTGCATTTGGATCTGATGTTGGCTACAATGAACAAACAATGCAGAATGGAGTGCCTGTGCTGATACATTGTCATCTCCTGGTGTGGCAGCACATTAACATGCCAGTTATTTCTGAATTGATCCATTTAAAGCAAATCATTTGACACATATACAGCTCATTGCACCTTCCATAGTTCTTTGGTATTCCATACGGACAACCTGTTTGAATAGATTAAAATTAAAGGCAGACTTAAGGCCTTGAGCAACTGCATGCGGGTATAATATACATGTCCTTTCCGCTGATTTATCACCAGTGTCTAAACCTATGGACTATATCTACTGGAATCATTTGTTTCATATGCCAAATACATCCCCAGGAAATGACATGCTAAATAAAAATAAAACCAAATGAAAAAAAGCTATTTTTGGATATAATTAGAGTGGGTGACTGAGTGGCTGATCTGTACACAGGGACCACTCAATGTTGGAGACTGGGAAATGGAGGAGAAATCTCAGATTCACAGCACAAAAAGGCCCTTCGGCCCATCGAGTCTGCACCAATATAACTACTAAGAAAGGTGCGTTAGTCCCAATTTCCAGCACTTGTCCTATATCCTTCAATGCTGTGAAATCTCACGTGCTCGCCCAAATATTTTTTAAAGGTTGTAAGGTTTCTGGCCTCTGCTACCTTCCCAGAAAACGCATTCCAGATTCCCACCAGCCGCTGAGTGAAAAAGACGTTTTTCCCAAATTCCATCGTGAATCTCTTGTCCGTTATCCTCAAACAATATTTTCTCATGAGTGACTCCTCAACCAAGGGAAACAGCACTCTCTATCGACGCTGTCCATACTCCTCATAATCTTATACACCTCAATGACGTTCCCCCGCAGTCTTTGTTGCTCTGAAGTAAATAATCCGAGCTTAGCTAGTCTCTCCCTATTGCTCAATTTCTCCATCCCAGGCAACATCCTGTTGAACCTCCTCTGTACTCCTGCTAGTGCTAACACATCCGTTATGCAGTAAGGTGACCAGAATTGCATACAGCACTCTAGAGCTTTGGTCAAGCCACAACTGTACCTCCTTACTCTTATACTCTATGCCACGAATGATGAAAGCAAGTGTCCCATATGTGTTCTCAACTCTCCTAATCACTTGCTTTGCCAATTTGCTCCAATCCTAGCGACATGCTGGCAGCAATACTGATGCAGAGGAAGTGAGTGCTTGGCATAGAATCCCAAAACTTTTACCAATGGTTCATGGGCAGGACCGCCCTGGAAACTACAAGCCTGAGTCTGCTAGAGTTACTGCCAGATGAGCAGAGAGTACGGACTTGTCAATAGCCTGAGCACAGAACACAGGAGCAGAAAAATTCCTTTCTGGCCAGGAGAGGCCATGAATGTGTTCTTGTGCTATCAGGAGAGGCAGAAAACATTCAAAAATAATGATTAGAGCAGTCCATTAAGTTGCTCAAGGTCTACCGTTCGTGTTAACCAGAACACAGAGCTCATAGTTGGCAGCATAATGCAAGAAACTTCCCTAAGGTGGAACATGCTCTAAAGGAAATATTGAGAGATTGGAACATACTTTAAACAAAGGACTTGGTGATCTGGCACCCACCATCAATTTCTAGGGAGTTGCACTAACCATAAGGTTAGCCGACTGAGCTATTTCAACAATACAGCTAAAAGCACATGTTTTTCCTGCAATATATTTCTTCCGACCAAGCCATAGCTCTCAGAAATGTGAAAGAATAATCACTAGTTGTCTGAATGTGTGTAGCCGTATTAATATTATCCAGGAGAAAGTAGTTGGCTTGGTTGTTGCACAATTTAATATCCCGTCATTCAGCACTATGAACTGTGGTTGCAGTATGGACAAAGAATGCTTTAGAACGTTATTTACGACATTGCCCCTTCCCTCCTTCCTGGTCTTGTAAGCTCTCTTACCAGTAAGGACAACAGCAGCAACATCAAATGAACAACATCACTGCAAATTGCCTAAAGATTAGTACTATTGTGTATTGGTAAAGTTCATGGTTAACAAGTCGGAGGTGTTGACAGCATAGAGTCAAGCTAAGGGAAAGGAGGAAAATATCCAGACTGAAAGAGGAAGTTGGATAAGTGAATTGAAAGAATGAGGGGAAATGAACACCAGTACAAGATATAAAGTAAAAAACACAAGTGATTTTGAGGAAAATTATGTGAATTATTTGAAGTATCAATATCTTTTGTTTGTGATTATTGAAAAAAAAATGCAATATGCAATACAACCTGTTAAATTCTAGTTATGAGCATGTTGATTTCAATCGTGGTATCTGGGAAATTATGTACATGCACAATTTTACATTTGATCATACAAGTTTGATTTTTTTTTAGATAGGAAGGGAATATAGTATATTGGAAGAGCTGAACATGCTGTTATTTGCCGTCTCTGCTGCAGTGGTGTAGATAAAATTGATCCACTTTGAGTCCATATGTTAATCTTTTCTCAGTACAACAGTTAACACCAAAATTGATGTTTATTGCCATCCATTCATTATGATGAAGATATAATCCAGAAATTCTCTTTGTAACACCATTCTGAAACTTAATGTAAGGGCATTCACAAT